TGCCAGCGTCTCACCACAGCGTGGCAGGGAGCAGTGCCTCATGGAAAATGCAGAATGGGAGTATTGCACTTGGATATCAAAGAGTGACCAGATTTTGGGGAGGCGGTTTTCCCATCAAGAAACTTTCCATTGCGGGGCAAAGCAGCTTAGGATAAAAAATCATTCAGTTCAAACTTCTGAGGAAGGGGGAGTTCAATAAAAGGTTCCTTGAAAGGTGTGCTCTTCTGAAACATCTGCCTTCAAACCACATTGTCAGATTTTTTAGCAGCTCTACTCACAGACGCAGCATGGGTTCTCCATTCCCATCCCCTCAGTGGATGTATCGCTCTGAATCTCCTTGCATGCAGGGCCCCCAACAAGGGGGCAAAGAGGAAGAGCACTCCCCTGAAGACCACCACTGTTCAGAGTAGAATTTGGCTCTGAATACAGCCAGGCACTGAATATTGGCTTTCCAGCTCCAGCAAGGACTGTTTTGATACAGAGACTTAAGATTTCATCCAGCTGAGCCCAGGATTGTTATTGACTGCCACAGGCAAGCAGCACAAAGTGCTTTGCACGTCTTGAGACCTGTAATTTGGTTACATGTTCAGTATTGTGCTCTGTAATCAGCTACTAGCGCTTAGAGAGAAGCAGCTCTGTGTTTAGAATGTCTATATTTCACACAAATACAAATAGGATTGACCTGTTAGGAAAACCAGGACATTACCTTCATAATTCCAACTATCCTGGAGCATGTAGATGTGACATGCAGTAACAGCAAGCACTCAGGAAAGATCCTGGCTTTGCTGGAAACCCCAGTTTCAAAAGGTAAGGTCAAAGCTTCACCTTCAGTAGTGGCACTTGAAGCTCAGTCACAACTGCACATCTGATTTCTGAAGGTCTTTCTCAGAGTCTTTGAAAATAAACCAATTTCCTAACATTTGGCATGCCGTATCTTGTGCTGGGGAGGAGTCCTAGCAGCTCCCCCAGGACACAGGCTAAAGAGGAGAGACTAAGAAAACGCTGTGCAAAGGTATGGCTGTTGAAACACTTCTCTGTTTTCTGGAAGCAACACCAAGTTGTGGGTTAAGAAGAAGCCAGCCAGACTGTATTCCCACACATGGCGATGTTTGGTAATTTCTGGTGATGAGGAACACGGTATTTTGAAGCAGTGGTTGGGCTTCCTCAAAGACAAAATTTTAATAATATCTTGTGTTTATACCACACTGTCATCACTTGTAATGTATCTTACTCTGCTTTCTTCAAGAACAGTTTGAATTTGGAAATCTATTCAGCACTGATTTTAAAGATTAGATGTACATGGTATCTCCGTCCCAGCACTGCAGCTAAGCTTGATGACATTTGTAATCAAATATTTCAAACAGAATGATACTCATGACAAAATAATTCTTTTGCTATCCTCCCAGGACTTGCTCAATGAAGCCCCACTCAGTCATGCTCAAGAAATGAAGGATTCATTTGTCATCTGCAGGAATACTAACAGCCTCTCTCCAGTAAATGAGTAATAGACCAAAATGAGAGGAGTAGCTCCAAAATACATAGGAAGTTCTTGTCTGGGGGAACATAACCCATGTGTTTTTGAGATACAGTTTTATAGACAGAAGATAAATAAACATGCAGAGTTGTGACTAACCTTTATTCAGTACTCCAATACAGCTCATTTCCCTGCAATTGTTTGATAGACACACACGATTTGCTGACTCTGAAGAGAGCGATAATTTTCCTTCAGTCACTAACATCACCAAAATTGCCACCACCCACATCATTCCTCTCTAATGTAATAATACTCTGTTAAGCAAAAAGCTTTGATGATTATATTACTGCATAATGTTTCTCTAAATGAAAAGAAAGAAGAAAAAGAAACCAGCTCAGCAATAATCAGCCTGTCTCTGCTGTTTACATGGCAATCAGGTGGAAGTTAAAGAAGTAACTTTTCTCTAAAGAAGTCAGATTCTGCTTCTCTAGCAAGGAGAGACAGATGACTGATACCCACAGATGTCTCCTCCAAGATGTGGCTTGCTGCTCTTGTGTGCTGTGTCTAACTTCATCACCACCCCACAACCTGAGGATCTACACCAGGTAGGTGTCAAAAGAGCACAGTCTGCCCAGGGATGCCCAAACTGTTATAGTTCCAGCTATCTGCTCCTGCTGGCCACATCCATAGGACAGCCAGCAGAAGGGATCCTGTGCCCCTACCCCTCTTCTCCCATTGCCTGGTGTATTGGCTTAGCCCCTTGGAACAGTGAGGGTTTGTGTTGTGGGATGCAGCTGAAAGTGAGGTGAAGCCCAGGTTATGTAAGCACACTTCTGTCAGCTCTGCCACAGGGTTGTGAGAGAGGGCATGAGACTCTCATGCCAAATTCCCTGCTGTTATGGAGATAAATCAGGAGATTCCCTAAAGCCCCAGTGTAGACAACACATTCACCAGGCAAGATGGGGCTGCCCTGGTACACTTGGCACTTGAGAAATAAACATGTAAGCAGTGATTTTGCTTGCCTAATCCAGCTTGATGCTACAGAAGCTAATTTCGCTGACCGTGTGCAGGCTGTATTAAGTACATCACACTGCAAATCACAGCATTCACACCCCTTTGTGGACCTGGAATTGTTTCATAGCCAGACAATAATTAGGCAGACATAAATCAAGCCAGGGCTACTTTCAGTGTGCTGCCCTGCCCCAATGCCTTGAAGAGCCAAGGGAAAAGGGTGCTGCTATTGCCACCTTTGCAACAATATGGAAATACTCTAGGAAAGCTTCTACTTTAAAACAGTCTTCCCAGAAGGCAAGGTGATGTTGCCTTTCAGCCTGTTATAAACCTAGACAGAATTATATCCTTTCTGAGTACTCCATGAAGAAATCTACTGAAGGACTCTCAAAGCATCCTGAAGCAGATCAGATGAACAATGTGCTAATATGAAGATAGGCTGAGAAAGTCAGGGCTCTTCAGCCTGGAGAAGAGAAGGCTGTGTGAAGACCTCATAGCAGCCTTCCAGTACCTGAAAGTGACTTATAAGGATGCTGGGGAGGGACTGTTCATTAGGGAATGTAGTGATAGAACAACAGGTAATGGGTTAAAACTTAAACAGGGGAAGTTTAGATTGGATATAAGAAGTTCTTTACTGTAAGGGTGGTGAGGTACTGGAATGGGTTGCCCAGGGAAGTCGTGAATGCTCCATCCCTGGTGTTCAAGGCCAGACTGGACAAAGCCTTGGGTGACCTGGTTTAGTGTGAGGTGTCCCTGCCCATGGCAGGGGGGTTGGAACTAGATGATCATAAGGTCCTTTCCAACCCTAACTATTCTATGATTCTATAACATGGGGCTGGAGCTACAAAACAGTTCCCTGAGAAGCAAAACAAGGCATTCCAAACTGAGAGCATCCTCAAGGTCCCAAACTCAAGGTCATCCATCAACATCAACCTTGTCAGACAGCAGTTAATAAGGCAAGGATGCTTAGGATGCTGAAATTGTATCAGGTTTTGACTAAGAGATGTCTTAAATTTTGGCCTAAATTAGATGTAGAATATTCTAAACCAGGATCTTACAACAACAACACTGGCCCTGCACCACCAAAACTCTGCCTTCATAATGGCCAAGAAACCCTCTCAACTAAGGAAAATGGAGCACTTGGTTCTCATTAGCAGCCGTCACAGCTTGCTGGTCTAATAACAGAGCTTTCTAAAAAGAACAAGCCCAAAATGAAGCCTTCAGGGGAGGATAAAAAGAGCAGACATCCTAACATTTTGGACTCTAGTGGATATTATCTTATTAATAGTAAGACAACACTGCTGGCCACTGCAAACAATTCCCTTGGATTTTAGGAACAATCACATCTGGCAAAGGGGAAACAGCAAACTAACTGCTTTTTGCCAAAAAACCTCTCAGACTTGGGGGTACCACTGATTGATACTCCCACGGTACCAATATTTATACACTCATTGTATTACAGGCTTGAAATTACAGAGGAATGTTATCACACCTGCAAAACCACAGCCAGGTTGACTTGTCCAGCACCCACAGATCAAGGAATCACTGCTTTTATTCTGCCAATTGGCAGAATTGGGAGCAATGGCCACCCCAAATCACTGCTGCATTCACTGCCTGTTGGGAGCAAAGGCCATGTACTTGGCAGGATTGTAACTTGCAAATGTTACACCCCAAGGTCATTGTGGCTTTACAAACCCAACAACTAAAGCAGCGGATAAATAACCATTCAGTCTTCCCATCAATGCTATATTCTCACTGGACGAACCTGTGAAGATTCAACTCCTAACTTTTGTTTCAGTATGCAGCTTATTTCAGTTAAAGTTTGTTATTTGCTCCTGTTGCAAATCTCACCCGCTTGAGCGCTTTCTCAGCTAGTCTGAAACGGCATGTTACTCCAAAGGCCCATAAAACATGCTGGATTACCCAGGTTGCAGATCAACAGATTCTCCTAAAGAATGGCCGCTTAGCTAGCACTTTGCTTCCAAAACTGTCCATCCCCAAGATGAATCCCCTCTGGCAAGAAGGAGAGGATTTCATGCCCTCCAATACATTGCAATCTTGGGTATGAATGAACACTTTCATTCCCATGTTTAGCAAAGAAAGGCCTTTGCAAAGGGAAGTGTGAGCAAGTCTGTTGGCCCACAGGTGGGTCCAATAACTGATTCTACTGCATGCAGCAGCTGAAATAAAGAAGCAGAAACAATCTCTATCATTGCAAGAACCTTCATTTCTGAACTCTGAAAGGTTTCAAGTTTTCTGGGATAGGAGACAGCAAAAGAGAGCAAGTGAACTAAAATCAAAGGGAATTTATTAAAATGAAGTTGTTCCAATCTGGAAAACACAAAAACATCTTGCTTTGAAAAAGTCTGAGACAACATTTAGCTGTCAAAAAATCCTCTAAGATCAGCTAAGATGCAGCTCTAAAGATCTTCCAGTGCTGCTGAGTCTGTGTTCTTTTTCCCTCAAAAAACCCACATTTTTATCCAGACGCAGACTCCTCCTTCAGTGGACACCCTCCAGTGCTTACCGTGTACTATTTTTTGACACAATGACCCCTCAAAATCTTCTAGTGGATGTCCAAGAGCAGGTGTAGAGTAGTTATCGATTTGCTTTTGTTACTTATTTTCTACAGACCTTAGGAAAGAACCCAGTGCTCTCTTCAGGGCTGGAAAGCAGAGGTCAAAACCTCTGCTCTCAGACGTCAATCAGTACCAACCACAACCTGCACCACACACTGTGAGAGGCAGCCACTGGTGGCTGCTCTTCCACCCTTACCTCGCACCGGTGACATCCACGCCAACCATCAATTGGCCATTCAAAGACAGGATTTCATCTTTAAGATGCACTCTCCCGCACTTCCCAGCTGGGCTGTTTTTCTTCAAGTCCGTCACCCAGATGCACCCAACATCAAGCACTGGTCCCTTATTCCCCTTCCTCTTCTTCCCTCCCCGACGCTTCTCCCCATAGTCCCCCAGAGCGGGGATGTTCCCAAAGCTCAACCCAAGAACTTCATTTTTCCGCATCTCCTGGGCCAGGTACATGGTGCAGATCTCTGTATCCGAAGTGCTGCAGCTGCCTGGCTGCATTTTGCTCTCATCCACAGAGAAGTTGAGCTGGATGTACTCACTCAGCTTCTGTACAGCTGAGCGGCAGAGCTGCTGCTCGGCGCCCTCAGCCCCCTCCCGACGGCTGTTCTGCAGCCACTGGCACAGGAGGGGGAGGTAGACCCCTGCGTTGTCCTGCGTGATGGGCATCGCTGTCCCTGTGCATCCCCTCACAGAAGCAGCCCTGGACCCGATCGGCTTCCCAGACCTTGGCTCTGCTGCCTGCTGCAGCCCCCTGCAACACCTGAGGCCATGCTGGAGTGGGGTTGCAGATCCAAAGCAAGCCCCATCAGATCTCACAGGAATGGATTTTTTGGGCTCCAGCTACCAAGAGCACAGTCAAGGCAGGATGTTTGGTGTGAACTCACTGCAGCTAACCCCACAGAAAGGTTGATGGATGAAGTGGTGGGGAGTGTCTGTGGCTGTCCAGGTATGCCTGTTGTCAGGATCCCCACTCTGCTGAGAACGATGTCTCCTTCCCACCACGGCCAGCACACTGCCTAGTCCTGCAAGGAAGAAACGGCATGGTTAGAACTGCCAGAAACACAGCAGGCATCCAGCAGCCTCTGCCCATTATCCTCCCCGGGACAGGAGCCCAAAGCCGGGCTTGCACGGCCGCAGCCGCTCTCCTATGATTTACCACTTGAGGGCACCAGCTGCTCTTCTCAACAAGGGAATAAAAGGTCACGATTAGCTCCTGACCTCCCCGGTAAACAGGGAATTGATGAGCTGTGAAGATGTTCCTTCGACAGCGCCTTGCCTGGCACCGAAGCAAAGCAGATGCTCCAACCAAATCCATGCCAAGGACTGCCTAAGGAGCACAGCACAACACGGGTCTCGCCAGCCACTGAAGCTGGTGGATGCCAATGCTGAGCTCTGACCTCCTCCATGCCAGTGTTTTCAGGCTGGGATAGCCTTAATCTGGTCATTTTTCCGACTTGGCTTCCCACCAAGCTGCAGGAGGGGTGGGCAGCAGCAAACACAAAGGGTGAGGACAGGCAATGTGGTCTCTCCTCTTATTGGCAGTGGTGGCTTACAATGGACTAAACCTACCCTGCACGTAAAGCATCTAAGGGAGGTGGCTACCCAGTTCCAAGGGACGAGTGTTGCTCAGGTAAATTCCCCAGTTTCCCGCAATTCAAAAAGGGGTGCACACAGGCAGCCAGCAGGTAGCGAGAGCTGGGGCTTGTCAAGCAAGACAGTGAGAAAGGATTCTTTTCTATGATCATTAGGATCTATGAAACAAAGAAAAATGCTGACATGAGTCAAGTCTGATTGACCTGTTTCTTTTGGGGAGTTCTTTTCTAGAAGCAGATCCTGATCACTGATCTGTGCATCAGGAAGCTGGAAGAAGGCCACAGCTTGCAGCTTGCAGCCTGCATGTCTGCTCCAGCAGATGTGGATGCAAAGCTTGGGTTAGGCAGAAGAGCCTGTAGCAAGAAACCACGACTCCAAGAGCACAAGCATAAACGGACTCTCTGGCAAAAAGCTGCTGCTGAGAAGCTGGATCCAAACTGTTTTGCCACTTCCCTGGCTGCATGGTACTACCCAGATGGCCAGGGGTGACCCTAAGAAAGTGCCAGCAGGGCCAGGGACAACACATCAAGGCCACACATGATGCTCTGAGTAGGACCCCAGCATCTTCACAAACAGGGTAATTTTATACCAATGGCTGAATAGTGATGGACATCAGCTCAGGAAAGGAGGAAATGGCTCATCACTGCTTAATGAGAGGGATGTCTGAATTAGGTTCACAGTAACACACACAGGGGACAAAACCAGAGGAAAGAATAAAAACAGGAACACAGTTCTAAAGAGAAGGGGTGATAATACAGATTGACCAGGAAATAGAATTAAATCCTCTGAGTATCTTAGATAACTAATGAAACATACTGCTTTTGATAGAAAACTTAGGTCTTATTTAAGGTATAAGGTTTAATTTAAGACAAAAGTAATGATTTAAATGGCATGACTGGAGCTTGTTGTAGTAAGACACAGATCTGGAATACTAACATAAAGGTGCATAGCTTATATATGGACCAGCAGAGAAAAAGTAGACGAAACAACTTTTGGTATACTAAGGATAATGCATATACTTGCTCTGAGGTCCAGAACACAGAGGGAGGAAGATCTACTAAATTCTCCAGTTAATAATATAATGAAAAAAAAACCCAAACCAAACAAAAAACAACACAGGGTAGGGCAGAACAAACCCCAGTCTAAGAAGATAAAACAGATCAGGTGACCTCATAGCAAGTGACTCAATGGTAATGGGAGAGTACAGGCATGAGATGTCTGCTAGGAAAGGAAAGCAGCAGGAGACAGAGAGTCCTTGTTCCTTTGGAGCAATATTCTCGCATAACTGATAGGTCAAGTAATCATTAAGGAAGTGCCTCAAGATAGATGTGTTGGGGGTAAGCAGGTGGAAGGAAAATCATGTAGGAATGCCTGTGAAATGATGAAATCTTCCATACACAAGGGATTGTGGACAGCAAAACACAAGCGCCTGGCTTCAATACATTCACGTAAACCTGCTAGGTAAGAATTCATGGAGAAGAGTTTAAAGGAAAAAGAAACCAAGGTGAGCTGTAGTTTCTTGAAGAAACAACATTTTGTGCTTTCAAAGCACAGATACAATAACATCTCCATGCAGAAGAAGGATCAGAAGACTTGGCAGCATCACGAGCTTTTGATTTATCTCAAAGACAAGAAGAAACAACACTAAAAGGTTACTGAGCAGGAGTGAAAAAAATAGTGTGAACACACAGGCAGAAATATTAGAAAAGTCAGGGCATAAAACTGAAATGAAACTTGCAGAAGATTAAAAAAAATAAAATGTGTATTAATACCAAGAATACAGGATGGTATAGTGTTGTTCAAATGCAGAGAAAGTTATTGAAAAAAGATACCAAAAGAGGCAATGCTGGTTTGATTTTTGCTTTAGTCCTTGTCAAAATTTCCTACTATGCACAGTGGATTAATACAGTTAATACTACAACACAATGTCACTGCAAAGGTATATTATCCTCTCCTCAACCTGTTCCAGGGTGAGATCAGCCCTCTGTCCCAAGTCAGGTATTTCCAGAACAGCAGGGTCGGACAAACCACCTTCTAAATTCCCCACAACAGCAGCTGAAGCTATCCCTTGGTCACCTGTGAAAGCTCAGACATCAGGCACTGTAAAGTGCCGGAAGTCAGGAGAAAGGCAAACACAGAGCCTGTCTTCAAGGGTAGAAAGGGAAGCAGCACAAGGATGCGACATCAGTCAATCTATCTTCAATCCTCTGAAAAACTCTAAAACGAACAAAGAGACAGCTTGCATGCATGTGGCAGATAACAAAAACATAAGCAGCAGCAGATACAGAAGAGACAAGGAAAAATCGTATCAAATCAAATTAATTTCTTTTCATAATGGAGAAGCTGTTAGATGTCATTTATCTGGGCTTTATTATAGCTTTTGACACCATCTCAAACAACTTTCTCATAAATAAACTCGGGGCGCATGATTAAATGAGTCTACTATAAAGCCATACCCAGGGAGTAGTTATTAATGATATTCTGTGAAAACAGAAGGACACTGTGAGCTGAGCTCTGCTGGATCTCTATAGTCTAGTTTTGCTCAGCACATTCATTAGTGACCTGCACGATGAGAGGGAGCACGTTTATTAAATCTGCAGATTACACGAAGCTGGGAGAGACTGCAGACACACTGGAGAACAGGATTAGCATCTGAAATCATCTTGGCAAAAAATAATAAAAAAAAAAAAAAGTCTAAAACTTAGGATAAAGTTCAGCAAGGACAAGCATGGTGTACTACAAAACAAAAATCACAGATAAGGTTGGCTAGGCGGCAAACCTTTGGGAAGAGATGGAGGGTTTTTAAGGAATAATTTCTGCCAATAAAGTCTGGCTGTTGAGGGGGAGAAAGGTTGTTGAGGGGAAGTGTCAAGAGGGATAAAGCCTACCAGATATATGAAATATCTCTGCAGCCTTATGCAGGGTTGGGAAGGTCTCAGCAGCAGAACTGCCCAGTTGGAACAGAGCTCTGACATGACTGCCGGTCAAGAAAATGTGACTTAGTAGGAAATACTTGAGAAATTAGGGCCTGCTCGTCTGAAAGGGAGAAAAGGAGGTGGGGTGTGAGAACACAACTGAAGGCCCTCATGTACTTGAAAAGGTCCCACAGTTGAGTTATGGATGTGAATCACACTGGGGTAAGGTGTAGGTTTGCGGTTAGGTAGCACTAATGAGGATAAAGAATACCAAAGCACTGGAGGACACTGTCACAGATGGCTAGAGTCTCCATCAATCATGGTCTCTGCAGTGGGTTAGACAAATACCTGCTAGGAACAATGATTACAGCCAGTCTCCCTTGGGCTGTGGGAGGGAGTAGATCTCTCTGTTTTAATCCCTCTTACTTTTTTACCTTCAGTGTCATTTTTTGTCTTAGTGAGAGCACAGTGAGAGGTCATCTAATGGGTAACATCCATAACTTATGACAAAGACACCCTTATTGTTCCTTCAGCAGCGAACACAGGGTTTTGGTTTTTACTGGGTTAGTTCCCAGTAACCACACAGGGTTCAAAAGCATTCAAGATCTAGAAATTATCAGACCAAACCACCTTTTGAGGCCCTTTTTGGCCTAATACTTTGAGTGGTTTTGCTCTTAGCTGTTTATTTTTGACATTGGGTGGACATGTTATGGGCTGCCCTTTGCAACCTATCCCCAGAGAAATAGCACTGCCCTAGCTTCAGTGTGGAGAATCTGGGGCACGTTGAAAGCAGCTCACAGTTTTAGCTCCAGAGCCTCCAAATCTCTGCATCGGCCAAGGGCATAACCTGATGTTGACTTCAGCTTCAATCCTGCAGACAGCTGGGCAGGATGGGGCATTCAAAGGCATCTGCATCCCACACAAAACTCATGCATCATTCATTTAGCAACATTGCTGGAGGGCTCTCCCTCTCCATGCACACACATTCCTCCAGAGATCGAGGGTAGCAACCTGCTCCACCCCACCAGAGGCAGGCAGCCTTCAAAACCCCATTCCTCCTCTGCACAGGAAAAACTGCAGGCATCAATATGCTGCAGGTTGCTTCTCTATGCCCCTGAGCTCACTGCAAAGCCATGGCAGACACTTTAGATAATCATGTAGATAATTATGAAGTACTTTCAAGGGATTTGATTTTCTCAAACAAAACCTTCTGGCTTCGGAAAAAAAAGAATCTTGACAAGCATAAATAGGAAATACTCCTTCCAGATGAAACAGGAGGCACAGCACTGAGCTGAACACCTCTGTGCTGGTGAGAAGAGCAGTTCATGCTGTCTGATGCCAATGGGAGCAAAAAATAGAAAGGTGGCAGATTGTTCATCAAGGGAAAAAGTAGATCTGCCTGTTAAAAATGGCACACTCAACACTGAGAAGAAACTGATTTTTGCTCTTGACTTCTACTGAAATAGACTCATGATAAAATTTACTGGAGTTGCCATCACCTTGCATACTTCATA